TATAAAATAAATAAATAAATAAAATAAAACAAGAGAGACTTGCAATCTAAAATGACACTGGTTTCTGGTAAAATTAAACTGACTTTTATTTAGAAAAGTGTGTTTAATAATTGACTTCCTGCTGACTCAAGTGACAAACAATCACTTGTATACATCTAATAAGATATTTTTGAAGTGTATACTTGGTCAAAAGTGAAAAATAGAGGAAATGCATGGGCAGTGGGGCCTTTTTCTTAATATTTCTCATCCTCCAAAATCTGTTAAAATCATCATCTTCCACAACTTACACACTGGAAGCTGTCCACAGCACAATTCACTGGGATGTGGCATTCTGTAAATAAGACTACATTGGTCTTGATGCAAGGAGGTTCAGCTACCAGACTGAACTATAAGAAGAGTCCTCTCCTCAACTTACTAAAACAACTTCTCCAATTTCTAGTCACCTTCCTATCAATTCGTAGGGCAAGATTCTCACATATTCACTGTCTTTCTCTAGTTTTCTCATCTATAAATTTACTATTCCTATTTTCTATAGAAAGACAATGGAAAGCATATAATTGCTGTTGGTAGATAAGTAGGTCTTGAATTTATTTTGCAAACAAGACCTGTTCTATCTACCTTTTCATTTAGGAGGCTAACAGCAGAGTCAGCTTGACTTCAAAGACTCTATTTTCTTAGTCTCCAGAAGAACATAGCCAAGTCCAGCTTTTAAAACACTGTCCCTTAACATGTCAAGATACTCAAGTAAAGATCATTTGTAACTTCAAGCTAGAAGAGGTTAACTCTGTACTTATGCTTGTTTAACTGTAAACAATGGTTAATTCATCTATATGCAAGAGAAGACTTTGTTATTTGGAAAGAAGACCTCAGCTGGCCAGCATCTTTTCTGTCATCAGGAAGTTCTCTGGAAGGATTATGACTATCACCTGGGCACAAAAACTGCCCCTCAGTAATTACTTTAGAGTTGGTACTGAACAGGTGCTGTTCTTGTCAAGTATATCATGTCTAACTACTTCACTGCTTGTTTTCTGCTATCACCAGTTGCAGAAAAAAAAAAAATTAAGCCCAACTCACTAATTGATTGCTTTTTCTTCATTTTCCCAGACTGTGACAGACTCATGGTTTTCAGTTCTATTTTCACCTTACTCAAATCCTGGAGGAATTAAACTATTATTTATTTTAAATGTTACAAATTAGCTTGCAGCTGATCCAAACAACATGTAGTCACTCAGACATAGCCAATAAAAATGTTTTGGTAGTATGAACTTGGATTCTAATCTTGCTGTCTCTCCCACTCTCATTCCAAAGTCTAAATGTTAGGTCTCTTGCTTGAGAAGAATTTAAGAGATGCTCTTAAATTCAAACAAACGAGACTGGAGGAAGGAATATAATCCATTCACTGGGAAAGTACACAACCAACAAAACTGAGATTTCCCAACTATGCACTATGATAATGCAGAAGCACATTTCAGAGATAGCTTTACTGGGTATACACATTACTCTTGGTAAACCGATCTATGATTCTGCCACCTGGAAAGATTCTTACCCTTCTACTTCCTTCCAAACATTCATTTAAAGGTGATAGGGACAGGGAGAGAGAAGGAAAAAACAAGCAGCACTATCCAAAAGTAAGAACAGTACTCTGGAGAAAGGTGTAAGATACTCAACACTGTTTTATGTAGCATTTAGAATTCATAAACCGGTCAGAGTCCTAGGCACAAAGAATGGACCTCCCCTTCCTTGTCCACCGAATGCCTGTATAGCTTCAAAATCACCTCTTGAAAACACTGCCTTATTCCTCCCCTTCCCAGCAGAGGTTAAGAGCCACACTCACCTCTTTTAGATTACTTAAGTGGCTATACTGCAATCATTCACTTGTGTCTGCTCTATTCGACGATAAGCAAATTGAAGGCAGGGTGTGTGACTTCATAATCTCTGAATGATCTGAACGTGGAAATAACTACTTTGTGATTTCAGGGAGCTTATATACCTGCAAAGAGAAAAGAGACATCAAATTATCTTCCAAATCAACAGAAAAGTCTCTTTATTAGAAGGCAAAGCAGCTTTCAAATTTGTGTGTGCTTGGGGAGTAGAAGGAAACATTAAAAATATAAACCTGCTGGACACGGTGGCTCATGCCTGTAACCCCAACACTTTTGGAGGCCAAGACGGGCAGATCACCTGAGGTCAGGAGTTCGAGACCAGCCTAGCCAACATGGTGAAACACTGTTTCTACTAAAAATACAGAAATTAACTGGGCATGGTGGCAGGTGCCTGTAATCCCAGCTACTTGGGAAGTTGAGGAGAATCGCTTGAAACAGGGAGGCAGAGATTGCAGTGAGCTGAAATCGCGCCATTGTACTCCAGCCC